AATACTGTATGATTTCACTTACATGTGGAATCTAAAAAAGCTAAACCAATGAATAAACATAACAAAACAGGAACAGTCATAGACACAGAGAATGCACAGGTGACTGTTGGAATGAAGTGGGTGGAGGGGAAGAGAAATAGGTGAGGGTGACTGAGAGGGACAAACTCCCAGTTACAAATGAGCCACAGCTGTGAAAGGTACAGTGTGGCGAACACAGCCCACGATTACCTAACCTCTTTGCATGGTGACATATTGTAACCGGACTTACTGTAGTGACCAGTTTGAAATGCACAGATATTTCAAAGCACCGTGTCATTAACAGAAACTAACACTACAGTGCTATAGGTCAATTATACCTGAAATACAAACAAAAAAATTTATAGAAAAAGAGATGAGATTTGTGGTTACCAGAGGCAGGGGCTAGAGGAGAAGGAATTGGAGGAAGGTGGTAAAAGGTACAAGCTTCCAGTTATAAGATAAATAAGTACCAGGGGTACAGTGTATGACATAATAAACACTGCTGTATATTATATGTAAAAGCTGATATAAAGGGAGAGCCTAAGAGGCCTCATCACAAGAAAAAAAAATTTTTTTTGCTTCTTTAATTTTGGACTTAGACGATGGGTACTCACAAAACTTATCCTATCACTTCATAACGTATGTAAATCAAATCATTATACCATACTCCTTGTACACTTTATACAGGGCTGTAGGTCAACTATATCTCAACAAAACTGGAAGAAAAAAATTAAAATATAAATGAACTATTTAATGATGGGAAGGAAGGAAAGAGGGAGGGTGGGTGGGTGGTCTGAGATGAAGAGGGAAACTACTGTCCTAATCAGCTGTTGAAAAGAAATAGAAGCTAGGTTTTCTCTTTCCCTCTAAGTTGTATCATCAAATCATCAAGCTAGTCTGGAGCTAACATTAAAGACTGTGTCCACACAATGAACATATGGCCCGGTGAACTCTGGCGTCTGTTCTAATATTCTCCTTTGCTGACTCTTCATTATAAAGTTAGACTTATCTTCAAAGATACTTAAACATGTGATAGAATTTTAAAAATATCTGTTCACTACCCATGAAACATCTAAAAAACATAACTTCTATTCAAACGTTAAAGAAAAAAACTCAAGATAAAAAAGTCAATAATCCTATCTAAATGTGCTAATTCAGCAAATTACATCAATATTTCAACTTAATTTGGTAATTTCCCTGCTACACAGCATGGTTTTAAACCACCATTGTGTCATATACGAAGTGTAAAATAATTTTAGTAATTTTAAAGCAAAACATAATCAGATAGATGATTTGCTTGAGTGGCATGTGAGTCAGTCCTAGGGAGAGAGAGGTGTTGGGGTTACTCAACTATCCACTCCATTAAACTCACCACACCCAGAAACATGGGCTAAAAGGGGGGTGATATTTGCACAAGTCAAATTTAATGTTTCATAACTAAGGCCATATTTCATAAACATGTAGCCTGTCCTTAAAAATAAAAGTGACTTTATACTGTATTGAGTACACGTGAAATGACATGAATTACAAAAGTAAGGTTCTCACTGCAGCAGATCAGAAAGTAGAACCTAGAAGAGAATTGACATTTATGGGTTTCCCTGGTAGCTCAGACAGTAAAGAATCTGCCTGCAATGCAGCAGACCTGGGTTCAATCCCTGGGTTGGGAAGATCCCCTGGAGGAGGGCATGGCCACTCACTCCAGTGTTCTTGCCTGGAGAATCCCATGGACAGAGGAGCCTGGAGGGCTACAGTCCATGGGGTCACAAAGAGTCAGACACAACTGAGCAACCACAGGCTAGAGATCACACTCTCACGATATGAGTATATTACCCTACTTGACCTCAACACCCTTTGAGATGGGCACTTTTTCCTATCTTACTGCTGAAGAACCTGAGGTTCGGAGAGGGTAAGAAATTATCTCAGGTCACCAAGCAAATAAGGAGGAGAGCTGTAATTCAAACACCCTTCTGTTTTCAAAGCCTACGGTCATCTCGAGACTTTACGCCTCTCAGTACAATTTTCAGAACTGAGTGCTTCAAAAGCTGAAGAGATTCTGCAAAGTTGAGGAGAAAGGAAAAAAAGCAAATACCATGCAAAAAGTGTTTAAAAAGGCAACTAAGATAATAAAAATACCTCAAATCTACTTGTTTAATATACCTCATAAACAGTTCCAGGTTAGTCTATGATGGTGTGCTCAGGAGGATGGAGCTGGTGATAAAGGGAAATGCACTTGGTGGCCACCTGTATCTGCCAGGGCAGACCTCAGGCACTAGGGGACTCAGAGCCCACACACTCATCTATGTCCTCTAAACCTCTGTTAAGACATCTGAGCTCTTAAAAAGAGGGAAAGCTGGAGGAGGCCAGCAGTTTCAAGCCAGGGATGGGATTACAGTCTCCCCCACACTGTGCTTGTCCTCCAGGGAGGAGAGAAGATGCTGGGACCAGCAGGTGTCTAAGGACCATTGCTCTGAGAGATCCCATGTTCAGTAAGAAACTTTGGGGGGAAGAAACAAGAAGGGAATACTTCCTGGAAACTAAGTCAAGCTCCTTTTGGCCCTAGGAGCCACCCAGGTGGGCCAAGGCCCCAGCAGCTGGTAGACAGCTCTCCTGCCCTCCCTCCCTGCCGTCCACAGTCTCGGGAGCCCGTTTCCATCACTGCAGGTGAGGCTCCAGGACAGGAAGCGGCTCTCTCTGGGGGAGCACAGGCCAGGTGGCTGAGGCCCTTGTGACCCCCCCAAACTTAGGACCCCTCCTGAGAATTCCCAAGTGTGTCAGGCCTGTGAGCACAGCTTCCCCAAACCCCTACTGTGTCCTGAGGTTCCCCAGAGACTTTCTGACCTTCACTACCCTAGTCCCACCAAGGCAGAAGCTTCTGAGTCTGATCTAAATGCCTCTCCACCTGCGATGCCCCCTAAAAGGCTCTGCTTCCAAACCCCACGCTTTTACTTGCATGTAGCTTCATTCTCTCCCATTCCCATTCCCCAATCCTTGGTCCCTGGTCACACTGTCCTCACAAGGCCTGGGCTCCAGCCTCACAGCTCATCTCCAGGTTCCCCCACCAGCCCAGGCACTGTCTAATCCATTATCACTGGTGAAGTCCAAATTCTTTACAGCAGAATATAGACCTCTATGCCCAGGCCCTGCCTGCAGCGAACTCAACAACCCATGCCCCCTCTGATGTACTTGCAATGCGTCCTTAGTTCACACCCCTGGCTAAGTCCTGACCAGGTTCCAAGCACCCTCATCAACAGGCACCGCCTCTCTCTGGACACCTGTCGCATAACCATGTATGGTCTTTCCCTCTGATTTATACTTTCACGTATCGGTCATGTTTTCCCAAATTGATTACAAGTTCGTTAGGAATGAGCACTGTGCCTTACAGCTCTAAAATCACACTGTGCCATCCACGCTCAGGGCTGCAATCACAGTGGAAGATCAATATGTATTTCTGAACAGCACTCCAAATACTCTCTATGTACAGACATTAATTTATTTTTCCTAGACCGAGGGCACAAACACCAACACTTATAATGGAAAGATGTCTTTGGGAATACTAGAGCTTAAAACCTAAATCTGTCTGCTTATAAATTCTGTAAGATGAAATTCCAGCTGACAAAAACGAAGACCTCTGCTCTTTCAGTGCTAGGTATCCAAATCTGTTATGAGACTGAACACTTTCTGTGGATTGTCGTTTACTATGATTTTCTGCAGGGTGCAAGTTAAGTTCACACTAACATTCAACAGCTGGTTCAGGAGACCACATGTTGTAGGGAAAATAACAACAAAATTTAATATTTATTAAAATATGATTTTTAATTTTTAATTAAATCATCACCAACTCAATGGACATGAGTTTGGGTAAACTCCGGGAGTTGGTGATGGACAGGGAGGCCTGGTGTGCTGCAGTCCATGGGATCGCAAAGAGTTGGACAGGACTGAGCAACTGAACTGAAAATATGATTGATAAAACAATTTCCTAACGGAGGTGGGAGGCACTACCACAAACACATGAAACGTTGCTGGAAACCAAGGCTCAGTGTATTTTTAAATCGGAGAGAGGGGTAGAGAGAACAGCATAGAAGAATAAAGAGAAGGGAAAAACACTTGGATCCAATATCCACCTCTCCGCTGGCAATGAGAACAGAGCTCCTTGCAAGCAGGACGTGGGTTTGGCTTGTCTATGCACTCTTAGCTCCAGCACAAGTCCTGGGACAGGAGGATTCAAGATATATATATATATATACTTTTTGAAAAAGTGGGTAAATGCACAAGCCACTAAGTGGGAGAGTAAGCTTAAGGAACTAATAGAAGGATGGTGACTGCAGCCATGAAATCAGAAAACGATTAGTTCTTGGCAGGAAAGCAATAACAAACCCAGACAGTTTGAAAAGCAGACATGTTACTCTGCCAACAAAGGTCCGCACAGTCAAGGCTATGGTCTTCCCAGTGGTCACATCAGGTTGTGAAAGCTGGACCAGTAAAGAAGGCAGAACGCCAAAAAATTGATGCCTTCATACTGTGGTGTAGGAGAAGACTCCTGAAAGTCCCGTGGACCATAAGATGGTCAAACCAGTCAATCTTAACGGAAATCAACCCTAAATGTTCACTGGAAGGACTGATGTTGAAGCTGATGTTCCAATATTTTGGTCATCTGATGCGAACAGACACCTCATGGGAAAAGTCCCTGATGTTGGTAAAGATTGAGGGCAGAAGGTGAAGAGTGTGTCAGAGAATGAAGTGGCTGGATGGCATCACTGATGCAATGAACATGGGCAAACTCCAAGAGATGGTGAAGGACAGGAAAGCCTGGCGTGCGACAGCCCATGGGGTCACAAAGAGTCGGATACGACTGAACAAGTAGTAGAGGGAAGAAAGAGAGATCCTGGAGCAGCTTACAAGACAACAGAGGACCTGGAAGTGAAGCAGCGTTCCCCAATGTTAAAGGGAAACTTCGCGCGAGGCGGCAGGCCCCGCCCCCTTACCTGAGGCACAGGCACTTTCTGCGGGGTGCTCTGGGGCGAGGGGTGGAGCTGCGCCCAAGGCTGGTGGTGCGGGTGCGGGGGTGAAGACTGGTGGTGCAGGCCCGGGTGGGGCTGCAGCGGCGGGCAGCTGGGCAGCTGCTGGAAGGCCGGCTGCGGCCCGGGGTGCTGCTGGCCGGGGAGCAGGCGGTCCTGGACGGCCTGTGGGTCGGCGAGGCCCACACCCGGGCAGCCGTTGGGCCTCAGGTGCGGGGCCGGGGACATGCCCAGGAACGGGCGCGCCGGCGGCAGGCTCCGTGGGCCCAAGCTCCTCGGTCCGAGCCCCAGGGCGCCGCCGGGCGGCTGGTGAGCGGGCTGCGGGTGCGGCATGCTCGGGTAGCCGCCCACGTCCATGGGGGCGCTGCCTGGCCGCACCTGTGGGGGCGGCGTGCCCGCCGCGCTGCTGCTCATCGCTTTCAGGGGTGACATGGGAGGCGGGGAGGCGTACGATCCCTGAGGCTGCGAAGGGTGCATAGTTTGCGCATTCATTTGGTTCAGTGAGCCGCTGGGGTGGACGGGCTGCTGGTGCAGAAGTCCTGGGGCGCTGCCGGGCGGGAATCCCACCGCGCTGGGGTACCTCGGGACGGACTGGTTCAGGGGAGCGCTATTGGTAAGGCCTAGGTTCTGGTTCATCCCTGTACTGTTAACTAATCCCTGATTTAGGTTGCTGTAAGGATAGCGGGAGTACTGCCCTGAGTTGTTTATAGTGGGTGAGGGGACTGTCTGGCTCCGAGAACTAAAGGTGAGGGTCTGCGGCCTCACGGCCCCTTGCGGAGCGGGGTTGGGGGAGAACCGGGGGCTGTGGGCCACCGAGTCCCCATGGAGAGCGGTGGGGGGGTGGTGGTGGAAGGGCTGCACGGCGTGGCGCAGGCTCGGGGCCACCCCGGGGCTCTGCGGGGGGCCGTGCGACAGGTGGCCCGGGCCGGGGCCAGCAATGAAAGGGTTTCCCTGACTCAGGCCCTCCTGGCCCGGGGGAAACTGGCCCATCCTCGGCTGCGGCTGGCCGTGCTGCGGCATGGAGAAGTCCCCCCGCGCCAGGTAACCGCCTAGCTGCTGCAGGTGCGGGGGGTGGCCCTGCCCGGGGGGCCCCGATGGGGCCGGCTGGGGCTGCGGAGGCGGCGGCGGCGGCTGGTAGGGGGCTCGGATCTGCTCGGGCACCTGCACGGCCCGGGGGCCCCACATGGAGCCGCCATCCACAAAGGACTGGCCCCCGTGCCTCTCGTTCTGCAGGCCCGGGTAGACGCCCATCTGGCCGCCCCCGCCGCCGCCCCCGCCGCCCCCGTGGGGGACCTGGGGGACGGGAGGGGTGTGGTACTGCGAGTGAGGAGAAGCCAGTCCGTTCCCGGGGGCATTGCTCAGCATTCTGTTGGGCTGGTCCATCAGGTGCATCTTCTGCGGCTCGTACTGGTTATAGTGATCGAAGTGGGTCAGCTTGCTTTGATTCTGGTTGGTGGAGGGATGGTGGAGGGAAGGCTGCAGGGAGGCGAAGCCTTGGTCTATAGGCATCTGCTGACCCATGGGGTTCACGGGGTTTTCAGGGTAACCACATTCGCCCAGGCCTTCGAGGCCCTCATTGAAAATATTCCCGTCCTCGCCAAAAAGACTCATCATTCCTGGATCCGCCATCTTCTCCCAGCACACGGCTGGCTCCTCCAGACCAGAGCGCGTGAGCTCGTCTGTGCTTCACTTCACTGAGGGCTTGTCCTCAGAGCCTATAATCCTGACTAATCTTCTTCATGTCACTCCATATTTCTTTAATTCTCTTGGACCCTGCAGTGTCAGGCAAAGTCTGGATCGAGGTCCTGGAAGGGATCGGGAGGTAATGGAAAGGAAGGAAGAAAACAAAGAATTAGGGACAAATGATAATAAATAAATAAAAAAAAAACCTGCCAGTATTTTACGCATTTGAATTTGGTCTCCGCCAACAATACTAATCTAGCCCCCTCGCTGAGCCATATTTTATAAATCTAGTTCACTTTAAGAGAAACTCATTAGCTTCTACCAGAAGCATTGTTATGATTGGTTACTTAGAAAGCAAGCAAACACTAACCTTAACCTTAAATTAATCCATTCACTACACTTCCTCGCGTTCCATTCTTGGATGGAACAGAACAAAAGAACACAACATGAAGCAGCAGCAGCTGCCACAGCAGGCCAGCAGATGCATGACTATCGCCAAGCAGCCCATCTGCTGCACTAAAGCCCTGGAAATGCTCCGGTTACCAACAGCCCGCCCTTAACCTTATTCCCCTGAGCAGTGTAATCAGATGAGCAGCCGCTGCACCGAGGGCTGTGAAAAGCTCAACTTAGTTAAATTGACTAGAGGATTATACAAATACCAAAATCAGTCATTTCGTACAAATTGGATATTTACGGCCCACATAGAACCAATGAGGAAATGGCAACAGGGACATTGAAGGAGACAGCGGCGGCAAAAATACTGGAAGGCCCGCTTGCAGGTGGTGTGACCACTCATCACTTCCTTAAATCTGATGGCAGGAACAGACGAGGCCAGAGAGAGACCGGAAGGAAGACTTTCATTCTCCAGCATCCCCCGCTCACCCCCACCAGAGGAAGTCCCACCACAGGCTCATCATTCACCCACCAGCCCCAGGCTCTAGGAATGGACCACTGTGTGTCTGCTCGGACAAACTCTAGTTGGACGGACAATTTCTAGACGATGACCGTTCTCTTTGGTAGAGACAGAAAACCTTCACCCAAACTGTTCAAAACTGAAACTTTTAACAGAATAAAATTCAAAATGTCTCTGCAGCCCTCTCCCTTGCCCTGACCTCTTCTGGAACCACGCGGGCCAGAGCAGGTGGGGGAACAGGGAGCAGGCTGGCCCATCTGCATCCCAGGGTCACAGCACTGGTGGATACTAAGTAACACTCTGTGCTTTATGAAAACACTTCCTAAGGACTCTGTATCAGATGAAAATAACCGATTTAAACAATGTTTCCACAATCAAAACAGGAAAGTGTTTTTTTTAAATGCTAATTAAATCAACACGCCTAATAAAGAACTAATTCACATAGGAAAAATGTCCAAAATCTTAAACATCTTTGGAATTTAACTCATTTTTTCCCCTCTTTCATAAGCACACGAAGCATTGTGTGATACTGCCCAACTTGAAAAAACAGTATCTTGTTGAAGAATTTCAAAAGGGATGTTATAAACAGGCCTGGCCATAAATCCTACTGACACCCATCCACATAAGCATGGGAAAGGGGCCGGCTGGAGGGCTGGCCAGCACCTCCAGCACTGTTGAGAACTCACCCCAAGAAAGATCGAAATTCAGATTCCACCCGTCCTATTCTAACACGCCCCCAACAAGGGGGGGATCTTCGCCTACAGAAAATGTAAACAGCATTCCTGCTCACTGTCAGAGCTACAGACAGAACACCTGAGAGGGTCTTCAGGTCAGCAGTGCTCAGGCGACAGCTGTCAGCTGAAGCCAAAGGTCTCTTCACTTGGCCGCTAACTGCTGTGAATTTTCTGATCTACTTTCTCCAAAAACAGGGGTCAGACGGGTGGAAATAAGGTGAGCATGAAAGCCATTTTATTTACAGACACGCTGCTTCACTACACAGCTGCTTTAAAATTCAAACTCAGGAGCAGTCAAAATCTCCAGTGCCAAATGAAACAAATATTTATAAATTGAATTTACTCCTAAAAAGCCTACGCAGTCAGTCTTCATTTATTCAAGGCTCATTCTGGCTTTCAAGGAAATAAATACAGGAATGGACTTGATAATAGCTTAAACCACCCGTGCAGACTAACCACTTACCAAAATAACCTTTCAAATTAGCTTAAGGAAGGTAGCATCTAAGTTGCATGTCCTGGTTGGCCTTATTTTATAGGATAATGGCTTCATCCTCCCAGGCCCTCCACATGTCACAGGAGGACTGTATGGGGTTCTCAGCCAGCCTCTAGGGAAAAAGAGCCCGGAGGAGTGGATGACCTGGGACACCGCACTCCAAGCACTGCCGGCCTGGAGAGGCAGCCGGGAGCTGGCACTCACTTTAGAAGGCTAAGGAGAAAGGGAAAGAGAACTTGCCTTCAGGCCAGGGAAGGGAAAGAACAGAACACACACTGTAAGTAATCCTACCCAACATTCGGGTCTCTGGTTCCCTGCTCCTCCCACCCAGGGGCCACCTCCCAGGAGCAGGGAAAAAGGCAGTTATGGGGCACAGTGAACGTGCCACCTACTAGAGCTGCGGCTCCAGGCAGGTGAAGTCCAGGCAGAGGAGCCCAAACACTCGGCTCCAGTCTGCCGCTGGTAACCACTTGCACTTGCTGGGGCAGCCACCACCCAGCCTGCCCCTTTCCTGACCTCGAGACTCACTCTGCTGGCGACTATGCGAGGAATCCATCTGGTAGCTGGACTTCATATTTCTGATCTGAGCTAATCTAATTAATTTATTTTGGTCTTTTTTTTTTTAATTTGATCAAGACCATTTGAATGCCCACTTTTCCCAAGTCACAGCTGCAACACTTAATTTTGTTCCTATCAAAGATATTCATATAAGCTTCCTTTCAGGAGGGCTGGCCCTTGTCTCCATTCACGGTCTACATTTTCTGTATCTACACCACCACTGTCCAACGAAGCCACATAGGTGATTTTGAATTTTCTAGTAGTCACATTTAAAAAGCAGCCCCCAAAAGAGTGAAATTAATTTTAATAATTTTTATTTATCCCACATATGCAAAATATGATCACTTCAACATGTAACTGATATGAATGAGACAGTTTACATTTTCAGTATTGAGTCTTTGAAACCCAATATATACTTCACACATACAGGATTTCTTAATTCCTACTAGAGCCACATTTCAAATAAGAAAGGTACACATGGGGGCAATAGCCACCATACAAGATGGCACAGGTATAGATTATTAAAAATAAGAAACAGAAATACAAGTTATCAGTGTTATCAAATAATTCTCATCATTATCACTTCAGAAATAAATTTTCAAGATGTATTTATGTTTGATTTGGCTTTAAGTGAAAATCAAGTTAAATCTCAAATGGTGTTTATGTATTCAAAACACATTTATTGAGTCCCTACTGTGATCCAGGCACCGATCACAACTGCCAGAGATGTATCAGTGAATAAAAACAAAGTTCCAGGCCTTCCTTGGTGGTCCAGTGGCTAAGACTCGGTGCTCCCAATGCTGGGGGCTAGGGTTCGATCCCTGGTCAAGGGAACTAGATACCACATGCCGCAACTAATAGTTTGCCTGCCACAACTAAAAGATCTTGCACACTGCAACTAAGACCTGAAGCTGTCAAATAATAATAAATAAAAACAAAGTTCCCTTTTGTCCTCTTCGAGGTTACATTCATCTGTAGTTTTAAAGTTTATTTAAAACTTTTAAAATAAAAATTAAGATTCATGGGTTATGGGATAAAATTTAGGATACCATTTTACAAAATATTTCTTGGTAATTCATGATGATAAGTGCTTTAACTGTGTCTGATATTATATACATTTTAGTACAGACACCTATAATGAGAACACAATCACATCTTTCTGCTCAGCACCCTACTAGCAAGTATTTTCTGAGTTCAGAAGGTATCTGGGGGTTTGTCTGGGGTGAAGAGAGGCACAAGGAGACAGCCCAGCTAAGGGAGTCGTGGACACCTGACCTGAGGCTTGCTGTGCAACCAGTGATGAAAATTTAGAGCTGGCCAGTGCTTTGCAGACCTCCTAATCCAAGCCCCTCTTCATTTTACAGATGAAGAACACTTCTATGGACTGAGAAGAGTAAACCTCTGATACAAAATATTTTAACAAACAGTTCCCAAAGACCAAAGAAAAATGTACAGACGAAATGTCAACTCACCAGCAAGTGCAAGAGATTAAAGGTCTTAGACAGGGTCCTATTTATTCAGAGATTGGTCACTAAAATAACTGCTGAAACCACCAAACAGAAGAGAGTTTCCTTTCAAGAAAATTTTCACTTATACTGTCTGTGATGTTTAGGAAGCAAGCCCAGTCTAGCACCATATTGAGGCTACTGGTTAATATTTTGGGGAGTAAGTAGGATGCAAACTAGCAACTCCAAAAAGCAAGTAAACAGCACCCAGGAAAGGGGGGTGGGCACAAGCAGGGAGTAAGACACACCAGAATGAAAGAAACAGCTGTCTGAAAATACATATTAATATTTTGAAGGTAATCTCTGACTTTCCAAAGCCTGCATAAACAACAATTTACTGCCATGCTCTGGTTCAGGTGGGATGGCGTCTGTGTCGTCAGGTGTTAATCTGGTGTCTCAGTGACCTGGAAAGTCAGACAGGAGAGAGGTGACACAGAACACCTTTCATTTCCCCAGGCAAAATACTCACTGCAGGTCAACCACTCTGCATCCGGCTGTGGCAGTCAAATGCCATCCGGGTGCCACCCACTTTTTCATATGAATCCAACCCATGGGGCAAGTGTGAAATCAGCTGCCCTGTAGAGCCAGTGACCACCTTAGTGTAATGCGGCTTGATGCGCTTCCTTCTCTCTGCATTTTTCTCCCCCACCTCCCAGGAGCCTGAGGTTTGCGACATAACTTGATTGCTGTTCTCAGGACTGAGGGGAGCACTTGCCAGCATTTCCAAGGGAATGCGGAGCGGCAGAAAAAAAGGCACCTCCCCACCCTCAGCACAGCCACGGCGATGTCTCAGACCACCGAGGCCACAGATCACATCAGAGTGGGGAAGGATCCCCAGCCGACAGCAGGGATACACAGAGAAGGCTCCAAATGGCTGGGCTGCTCCTCACAGAGAGTCCTTCCAGCTCCATCACCAG